GTGCTGCCTCGAATTGCTCGTTAACTCTGTTAATGACCCTCCTAATCACCACCTGGGAAATCCTGCCCATCCCTCCAGGTGCCGGTGCCCTGGGGTGGGCCTCCCCACTCCTCCGCGCTGTCCGAGCGCTCGGCCCTGTGGCTCTCCTAGGAGTCACACAGGTCATCACAGCCGGGGCAATCCGCCCACCTGGCCACACTGCGCGCTCCTCGGGGCAGGGCCAAGCCTTTTTCCTCTCTGCATTCCCAGTTGCCTGCACAGTGTACGACTCATAAATATTTCTCGAATGAATGAACGGCACCGTGAAAAGCTCTACAGGTGCAAACCTCTACTCCACAAGCGGATCTACCGTCAAGTGCCTTTAAACAACGTGCTCTCGCCTCACACGCCGTGAGGGAAAGGTTCAGGTCACAGAAACTGGATTTAAGGGCAACTTCCAGGGATCTCTCTATCAGAGGAAGAAGAAAAGCCCACGTGTGGGCACCCTGGCTCTGAAGGCCAGCTGTGCAGCCCTGGGTGGAGGGAGCAGGGGGAGGAAGAACCGTGACAACGAGGCCCAGCGACAGGACACACAAGGTGATGTGGAGGATTAGGGGCTTGACTAAAACTCAACTACTTTCCTCTAAGATGAGAGGAGAGATCCGACCTCAAGTAGAGTCAAGGCACCACGTGATGCTCTGACAATCCTAAGTTCACTAACCCTCTAAATAACTTAGAGTCTTAGCAGTAATTTACCTCCACAAAACAAGATCCAACTCAGTTAAGGAGCAGAAGATCAGCGCCAGGTCTTCCGGCCCCAGGAGGGCGAGCGATGGTCTTTCTTTAACAGTCTCCAGCCGTGATGTACAGACAACCGTGTCAGCTGCTCCATGCAGGGACCAGAGCAGAGAGACCTGCAGAAGCCCTGGTCATGACTCAAGACAGTTCCCCCAAAACCAGTGAATGGTCTCTCACACGCAACTGTCAGTAGCTGCAGAAGAAACCAACCTGAAAGGTCAGCAAGTGAAGCGATGTTCACTGTGTGCTTCTGTTCATCCAGCAATCCCAGCCATTTTTAAGCACTACATTCGCGTAAAGTCGGAACATTCCCCACTTTACCAATGGGTAACTTGAGAGCCTGCGCGATAGGCTTGCCAAGGCTGTGAAGAGTCTAATGGTAAGATGTAAATAAAACTTGAAATCTTGTTTCCAACCTCTCTTCAACCACCTTTCTACACATACACACACTCTAGTTCTTTTAATCTGACCCTTAAGACTTGATAATGAATTTGACTTTGCCAAATTATCCTAAGTGGTAGACAAGCAGTGCTCCAACAAAAACCACGGGCTGCATGACAGCTCCGTTGAATGACACTCTTCTGAGTCTGATCATTCAGAAAGGACAGGAAACACCAGAAGCCAAGAAGCCTATGGCATATTTTTTAAAGATTTTAATTTTTTTCCTTTTTCTCCCCAAAGCCCCCCAGTACATAGTTGTATATTCTTCGTTGTGGGTCCTTCTAGTTGTGGCATGTGGGACACTGCCTCAGCGTGGCTTGATGAGCAGTGCCACGTCCACGCCCAGGATTCGAACCAACGAAACACTGGGCCGCCTGCAGCAGAGCGCGCGAAGTTAACCACTCAGCCACGGGGCCAGCCCCGGCACATTTTAATCTAACAATTGATTTCAACATATTTCATCCCCATCTTCATTCTCTCTGGAATCTCGCCTCGAGCTGCCAGATGCCTTTAAAAGGCTGCTCTCTTCCCTCCGCAACCTGACGCTCATTTACCGACACCGGAGACGTGTTACTAGAGAGAAGTCAGTTCTTCAGAACTAAAGCTACAAGTCAATCTTCAGTCGCTGGGCCTCCCCCTGGACAAGCGTGATGTGCAGTGAGGGCAAAACCCAGACGTCAGCTCAGCGGATGGAATTACACACCAAACACAAATTCTCTCCAGTGAGCCTCCAAGAGAACATGTCATTGCCACTCAGTCTACTTTTAGGTATCTCTCCATATCTCACAAACTGCACTTGACGATCTACTTGAGCAGACTACAGACAGGATGTGGGCAGAGTTCAGAGCACCTCTGACCTGACCTGACTAGCAGAAATGGCAGAGGCCCTTGGCTCTGGAGCTGGCCTGCTGGGTTCAAATCCCGATTCAGTCACTTACAGGCTTTGTAACCTTTGTTTAAATTCTTTGAGCCTCCTGTTCTTCATCTGTCAAATGAGGATCTTCCTCTTTACGGTGTGAGGACAAAACAAGATAACATATATGAAGAGTTTAAAACAACTAGACCTGGCAAACAGTAAGTGCTCAATAAATGTTAGCTATTATTACTATTCAATAATATGTGGGAAAAGAAAAGGGAAATGTGCTAGGTTTATCCTGTAGGTATACAGGAAATATAGTACTGTACACGACCCGCAGTTGGTTGAATCCGCAGATGCAGAACTCGCGGATATGGAGGGCCAACTAAGGGATTTCAGCATCTGTGGACTTTAGTACGGGCAGGGGTCCTGCACCCAATCCTCGCAGATACCGAGGGAGACTGTCCTATATTTCTATCTACCTATCTGAAGTTACCCTAATTTGCTTTCTTAACATGAAATTATGATTTCTTTTGAAAGCATTTGCTCTGTACAACATTAAGCATATTAATGATTACTACACAAAAACAACAAAAAGGCCAATGTTGATCCTCCTTTGGGAAAAAGCCTCAAACCTGAGGTCAAGCCTGCTCCGCTGCATTTCAGGAAGAACTCAGTCATTCACAGGCTCACAGAGGAGTGTCAACGAGGTGATTAAACTTTCAGAAAGTCGGTCCACCAGCACAAACCTCAAAATGAATCTAGAGAAGCATTTATTTGTTTTAAAATCATCTCCATGGCCTGAAAAGGGCAAAAATTAAATTTATACATATATAAACTATTCTGACCCCAGAGGAAAGAAAAAGGAAAGGAAGAAACTGATGCAAACAGCAAATCCATGTAAGAAAAATGGGCCATTTTCCAGGTGTGCGCTGACTCCCGGTGAGTGAGGAGAAATTCTTATCTAGTTCTATCAGAAAAAAAGATCTTCCTACTCTCATTGCTAAGGTAGCGGTAGCGAAATCAAAGAGTGGCCATTTGACAAGCGCCAGCCGGCATCACTGAATCTGAAGCAGATGGGACTTGGCATCTTGAAACACACTTCAGGGCTAAGATTGGGACGGGTCACTCCAGAGAGAAAGGAAGAACACCAGAAAAACTACCACCAAGAAGCGTTTTTTAATTAAAGCTCAAGATGGAAGACCATCACCAGCTTAATCTTCCAAAAAAAACCACAACAATTTTTCCAGGTCACTTGACCTAAAATCTTTGATATTCCCCGCAGCCCACAGGAGAGAGTCAAAAACCTCTTGAGGGAGCAGACCCCCAGCTACCTTTCCAATCCTGCTTCGCCATCAGGAAATGGCCACTCCCGCCAGCCTGGCTTCCTTATTTGCTCCAGGGAGGAACCAATAGTGCCCATGTCAGCTCTGTGTCCCCAGCGCCTATCACAGTCCCTGGCACATGGTGGTGGCTCAGGAAATGTCTGCTGACTCAACAACTCCAGGAATGCCTGAGGCCTGCACTCTGTGCCTCGCCCCGAAAGCCGGGGTGAAAGGCAGCCACTCTCCAACCGAGCTCAATTCCCCCCACCTCTTCCCGACACCAGCGCCAGGCAATCGGTCCTCGCCATGCTCCTCCCCCTGCTCCCGATTCCTACAGAATCCAATCAGTTTAGACTTTTCTTGCTATTTAAACATCTCCTGTTCTTGTCTTTTGGCTGTCCCACTAAACTGGGAGTTTCTGGACGAAGGCAGGGTTCTGAAGCAACCAGAAGCAGCGGGACGGTGGTTGATCTGTGACCAGGCAGACCTAGTTAGGTGACTTTGGGAAAACTTTATGTGAAGCACTTAAAACAGTGTCGGGAGCACAGCGTGCAAGTCACAAATGCTGGCCATTATCATTATCTACCTTTTGGAACCCCAGCTCTCTCACGGATAAAATGGGATTGATAATAAAGCCTCTGTTGGGTGGGTCTTTCTGAAGATTAGGAAAAATCTCTCAAAAGTTTCTAGGACCTTCCTTTGCACACAGTAGCCACTTTGTAGCTATACGGCAGCTATTATTACAAAGCCTCAAGCTGGGTGCAGAGAAAATGCCCCATAAAAAGCTTATGAAATGAGTTGAATGAACCGAGAGAGACATAATCTAATATCAACTCAGATATCAAGGGAAACTTCTTCAGTCATTCATTCGATTCTCTTTGTTTTTCTTTTTGAGGAAGATTAGCCCTGAGCTAACTACTGCCAATCCTCCTCTTTTTTTGCTGAGGAAGGCTGGCCCTGAGCTAACATCCATGCCCATCTTCCTCTACTTTATACGTGGGATGCCTATCACAGCATGGCTTTTGTCAAGCGGTACCATGTCCGCACCCGGGATCTGAACCGGTGAACCCGGGGCTCCTGAGAAGTGAAACGTGCGAACTTAACCACTGCGCCACCAGGCCAGCCCCTCAATGAGTCTTTATTAAGGGCTTATCATTAAGTACCAGGCTTTGTTCTGGGCGTTGGGATGATAAAAACAGTCCTTGTCCTATGAAATTGACATTCTAAAGGGGAAGGCAGATAATAAACAGGGCGAGACAGAGAAATAAAAGCTTGTATGGTACTAGGCGCTAGGAAGAAGGACCAAAAGCAAAGCTATCGGGGCTGTGAAAGTGCTGTCCACAGCGGCAGCATTCAGGCAGATCTCAGCCCCTGGAGAGCTGGCAGTGCGAGCTGCCCTCACCCCCAGGCAGACTCTAGCCTTTCCACAGCCTCTAGTGCCAGGAGACCCAGCTCCCCCAGAGAGGCTGCGGGCTGGCTCCCAGGGCCCTCTCAACTCAGACCACCCTACGAACACTGCTCAACCAGCAGCTACAAACTTGTTTTTATAAAACTGAATTGGCCACTCAGCCCATGTGGAAGTAAACGGATGACAACCATACCACCACTGGTCTGTTCCCCAGGAAGTTCAGATCGCTGTTTTCTCCGAACAAGTAACCTTCGGGGTGAGTGGAGTCAAACTTCTCTCCTCCCATGATGAAGTGGCTGGCAAAGTAGCTTCCTAGAGAGAAACCAAACAGAAGCCAGTCAAACTAAACCAATCCAAAAAGCCAATTCGAAAAAACGTTAACCCTTCAAACAAATAGTTAGAGCAATTCTGAACCCTCGGAGAGCTTTCTTCTCTTGATTTGGGACAATGACACAAAATAGGCAAAATGATAGCAGTGAGAACCCAAGACACCAAACATAAAATAGATCATTGTTTTCCTTTTAACGTTCTTAGTTGAATCCTTATCATGATCTGTCTCTAACACCATCAGCAAGAAGACCAGAAGGCCCCACAATGCACATTAGTGAACAATATATACGTATTTTTGTCCTGATTTTTTCCCGTAACTTGAAGTGGTTATTCTCTTTCCTCCATGTACTCAGGATTCTCAACCACAGGTGTCAGCACATATACACACACATACAATTCTTTGCCTAAATTTTCCTAAGCCAGCTCATACCTACACACAGAAGTCCCACCACCACGTACAGACCTCCACAGCCCTCCACACTCAAGGCTCTTCATTTCTCGTATTTGGTTCAAAATGATTATTTAATAGGAAAATATGAATTTAGATAATACAGCTGCCCCTGACTTTACCTACCAGTTACCATACAGATTGTGGAGTTTAACTGGACAACAGCTTAGCTTTATGAAAGAAAGAGACACGTGCGCGCACACACACACACGCTTGGTCTCAAATTCACTAACAATGCCAATGGCCAATGTTGTGGGGACACCCTTCATGCAGGCCCTCTTTGCTCCCCTGGATCAGCCAGGAGGCAGGGATATTTTCAACCCACAATAACTGGATGCAATCAGCATTCAGGGGTCAGAATCCCCATCTGCTTTATCCCGACAGACCGGGACCTGTGCCAGGATGTGATGGCACGAGGTCACCAAAGGAGGCTTAGGTAACACTGCAGAGTCCATCTGGGCATACTTCCCAACTTCGACGATTAAATGAATGCCTCTTAACCCAAATTTCTATACTCTAATTCTCCCATAAAGGCAAGCTGTCCAAAGTGAGGGCTCATACCATCGTACGCCTTATCAATGCTCTCATGGACCCCAATTCTTGGATTAATACAAAGAACTTATGAAATGGCAAAGGCTTCGTTACGTGTTATACAGCTAGGAGATAGACAGACTCCCTAAGTCGGTTTCCATTTTTGTTGAAGGTTTACAGCAAACTTAGAAAAATGAGATTCAGCACTTTCAGCCTGTGAAGAAGCCATAGGAAGGACGACAGAAGAAAATCCTAACAGAAAAACTGAACCCAACGTTCATTTTTGGAGTTTCTACACATGGTGCTTTAGTCCAGAAACACTTATTAAACAAAACAATGTGGATAAAATTCTTCCCCAAAAGGTGAGGCAATTCTCTAACTAAACACCAAACAGGTGAACGTTATTTGATAGAGTAACAGCCACCAAAGTCAAAGCAATCATGGAGGAGCTCTTGCAAGTGCCCCATCAAAACTTAAAAACGCAAAGAGCAGCCACCTGCAGCAACACGCCAGCGGAGCTCATCACTCAGGAAGGCTTAATTATCAACCATTTATGTCTAGTACTTGCTAGCCCCATTTTCCAAGTGCATAATTTATAGAGAGGGAAGGTGCCCGGTTGCCTTAAGCAGAAGCAGCCTCGCAGATGATTTGTCACGTACTGTTGAACCTTAGTAAAATATATTTCCCACACATTAGAAATGATCTATTTGGGGCCAGCTCCGTGGCCAAGTGGTTAAGTTTGCGCGCTCTGCTGCGGCGGCCCAGGGTTCGGATCCTGGGCGCGGACACGGCACCGCTCGTCAGGCCACATTGAGGCGGCATCCCACATCCCACAGCTAGAAGGACATGCAACTAAGATATACAACTGTGTACAGGTGGGGTTTGGGGAGATAAAGCAGAAAAGAAAAAAAAAAGATTGGCAACAGTTGTTAGCCCAGGTGCCAATCCTTAAAGAAAAAAAAAGAAATGATCTATTTGTCATACGTTAAGTGAAACTAGAAAAGTTAAAGATTTTACACTGATGGATGGCTTGCCCAAATCATGAATAAAGAATGGAGAGAAGCCGATTTGGTGTCTAGAGTTGTACAGGGTGAGTTCAGTCTGGGACACAGCGAGCTTCCAGGACCTGTGAGCAGTTGGGTAGGGGTGTGGGGACAGGGAAATCCCTGGCTAATCAGCTTATGGGTGGTACTGATTGATCCTGACAAGAGAAGAATACCAGTGACTTGGGGGCTAAAGGGTTAAAGGTGACAGAGTTCTATTGGAAATACCCTTTCTTTGCTGTAATAATAAAAGAAGAGAAATTATCAAGAAGGTAGCCTAGAGCTAATTGTAGTTTGCCTTGCATTAAAAATATAGAGCACTGGGGCTGGCCCCGTGGCCGAGTGGTTGGGTTCGCGCGCTCCGCTGCAGGCAGGCCAGTGTTTCGTCGGTTCGAATCCTGGGCGCGGACATGGCACTGCTCATCAGACCACGCTGGGGCAGCGTCCCACATGCCACAACTAGAAGAACCCACAGCGAGGAATACACAGCTATGTGCCGGGGGGCTTTGGGGAGAAAAAGGAAAAAATAAAATCTTAAAAAAAAAAAAAATATATAGAGCACAAATATACCTCTTCTTTCCTTCTTTCTCTCTCTCTCTTCCTCATAGAAGCAAAGCAAAGGCTTTGACATAAAGCAGAGCTCGAGCTGGCCCTGTGGCATAGTGGTTAGGTTCAGCACACTCTGCTTCCTTGGCCTTGGTTTGCGGGTTCCAACCCCGGGTGCAGACGTACACCACTTGTCAGCCATGCTGTGGCGTGACCCACATATAAAGTGGAGGAAGACTGGCACAGATGTTAGCTCAGGGCTAATCTTCCTGAGCAAAAAAAAAAAAAAAAAAAAAAGGCAGAGGCGAATTTGATCCTGATGCTGCCTTCCACCAACTGGGTGACCTAGGTCAAATTATTTAACTTTTTTGAGCTTTGGTTTCTTGCTTTGTGAAATGGAGATAATAATACCTCTTTCAAAGGATTGTTGTTGGGATCAAATAAGGTAACTTGTATGCAGCTGGCTAAGCCCAGTGAGCAATTAATACATGTTGGCTTCTCCTTTCCCCTACTCGACTCCTAAATCTTTGTCTCTGATCTTTCTTTGGAGTTGCAGCCAAATCTTTAACCACTTGCTATATCTTTTCATCTGAATATCCCATCTTTGCCTCAAACTTAGCGAATAACCTTTTCTTCTGGACGAAGGTAGACTAAAGAGCATTTTCTCTTAAGAGCTGGCACCAGAACTCTTCTTAGCAAAGGAGACAAAGGAGCAAAGCAAAGCAAACCATCTTCTTTTTGGGACATACTTTAATGAGCTAGTTAGAATGGAGAGCAACACACCAAGGGTTTGGGTACTTCTGTTGCTTGTTGATGGAACTTAAACCGGTTTGTAATTTGTTTTCCTTCTGAGAGGGAAGAGGAAAGAGTCAAAAAAAGGAGAGGAAAGAGACATTAGGACGGCAAGGCTGGGTTTGGTGAGCTCAAGAGCCAGTAAAGCTCCTGAGCTGAAGTTCCGTTTAGGGTGACAACGCTTCTTATTCCTGCTTGTATTTCTGCAGTGTAAACCCCAACTTCCTCGCCCTCCACAAATCTGTAGTAGAATCTATACTTTGATTACTTTACGTGGATGGAATTTTCTGGAGAAATTGAAGAATGGACTGATGGCACATTTGTTGTGGGGCAAAGGCAGCAAGCTGGAACTCTCGAGCCGACATGGTCAGAACATTTGTCACTTGGGAATTCACAGAAATCTTGGAGGGGGCAGTAGAAGGCCACGCTCTACGATTTGGGGGAAGAGGTAGGTTTCTGTCTAATTTGCCTAGATCTTAAGGAGCAGTAAAGCCCAGGCTGACATTTGGGACTCACTTTGAAAGCACTTTCTGCTTCAGATTTCCAATCTCTGTCAATGGCACCTCACTTCTCTGGTCACCCAGGCTAAAAATGTCACAGTAATAAAAGCCACAAAAATGCAGGATATGTGCTTTGTGCAAAGCATCCTTGTCAAGACCTCAGCCCTTCCCAAGTTTGATTACGGTGGGTTATCAGCTAACAGTCTCCTAGCAAACCTCTGTGCTTCCAGTCTTTTCTCTCTACAACCTAGACCTCTAAGAGAGAAATCTTTCTTAAAATACCACTTGGTTCCTCTCAATTTTGGCTTCCACCCATCTGCCAAATTTTACTTCTCATTCCCTTTCTATGAGAATTCTCTGCCTCAACCAATTAATCTATTCATTATTTTCTAGATCCATCAAGAACATTGGCAACCTTCAGGCCATTACTAATACTACTCTCCACACTGGACCATTTAAGAGTTCTACCCCACCTTCGGAGTCTACCTTCAAAGCCATTTGCCCCCAAGAACTCCCCCTTGGTGATCAAGCTCTTCTCTTTATTTTATTCAGGCAGCATAAACCCCTCTATACCGTCACTTTTTTAAACGGCTTTATTGAGGTATAATATACACAGCATAAAATTCATCCATTGTACAATACCGTGACTTTGGCAACGGTCACCACAATCCAGTTGGAAACATTCGCACCACCCCAAAATGTTCCCTCATGTCCGTTTGCAACTGATTCCTACTGCCATCCCCCAGCCCTAGGCGAACACTGTCCTGCTTTCTATCTCTGTCAATTTGTCTTCTCCAACCATTTCACATAAACGAACTCATACAATAGATAGTTTTGCATCTGGCTCCTTTCACTGTGCACAGTGTTGCTGAGGTTAACCCATGTTGTGTAGCATTTATCAGTAATTCGTTCCTTTAAACCACTGAACAGTATCTCATCGTAGGAATATACCTCATTTTGCTAATCCATTCACCAGTTGATGGACATCTGGATCATTTCCAGTTTTTTGGCTATTATGAGCAATGTTGCTGTGAACATTTGCATACATTTCTTTGTGTGTATGCATGTATGTCTTCATTCCCTTTGGATAGAGTCACAGGAGTAGAATTGCTAGATCATAAGG